GGCGGCAGCTCTAGCGTCTCGAGGCGCTCCTTGAGGAAAGCGACGCGTTCATGCTTGCTCAGCGCGGTGGCCGGCCCGACTTCCAGCTTTTCGGTTTGCGTGAGCAGCGTCTTCAGCGCGGTGCGCAGATAGCCGCGCGGGTTCGCGAGGTACAGCTCGCGCACGGCGGGCAGCAGCGCGGCGAGCTGCTCGACGGTCGCGACCGCGGCGCCCTCTAGCGAGCCGAGCGCCTTGAGGATTTGGATCCGGTGGTTTTGCGCTTCGCGCATGCCGCGGTAGCCGAGTTCCGTCACTTTCGTGGAGTTATTCTGCAGCGTCTCGAGACACTTCGTGAAGTCCAGCAGCTCGTCGGGCGTGGCGAGCCATTTCGGCGGCTTGGGGTGCTTGAGCTGCGTGAGCCGCAGCACGGCTTGCACGTAGTATTCGTCGAGCTTGCTCCACTGCGCAGTGTTCGCGAGGTGCGTCACTTCGCTGAGGCCTTTCTTGAACGCGGCGGCGAAGTGCGGCTCGCTGGTTAGCTCTTCGATGCTCATCGACTCGAGCGCCGCGAGCCGGTCTCGGAAGCCCTGCGGACTCGCGGCTTGATGCAGGTCCATCGTGCAGCGCGGCGAGAGTCTCGGCTCGCAGGGCTCGGGTTGAATCATGTGCTCCGAGAAGTACTGCTCCGGGTCTGAGGGCGAGTCGAGGAGCATGATCGGCTGTGCCGCGAGCACACGCACGGCGCAGGCCGCAAGCGCGGCGCTGCGCGGCGCGCAGCAGCGGGGAGTCCTCATGGCAGGCTAATTTCTAAAATGTGAAAAATGGCGACCCACGTCTAATCGGAGTCGCTGATGGTTTCGACGCGCTGCTCCGCGCGCAGCCAGGCTGTCAGCCGCGCGCTCCGCGGTGAAGAGGCTGCGCGATCGGCGCGTGCGCGCCGCTTCGGCGAACCGGTAGGCAAACCGGTAGGCGAACCGGTAGGCGAGCTGACAGGCACGGCGGCGACAGTGGCGCTGCCGCAGCTGTCGTCGGATTCGACTTGCAGCACGGCGGGCGCGCGCAAGAAGCTCGCAAGGCGCTGGGCATCCGCGCCGCTGCGTCGCGGCATGGGCGCTCTGGTGGCGGAGCGAGTCCTGTGCTGCGCGTCGGCCGCCGGCTGCGTGGTTGCGCGCGCGGCGCTAAGTAGCGTGCGCGGCGCGGCCGCGGCGCGCTCCGGGCCTGCCGGCAGCGCGCGGAGAAAGCCGTCGAGGCGCTTCGGCTGCGGCTGCGGCCGACGCAGATCCGCGGGCCTCGCCAGTGCGCCCGTGCCCGCACCGGCGACGAGCGAAGACTCGAGCGTGCGCGCCGCGCTGTCGCTGAACGCGCCAAGCGTGCGGAACACCAGCTGGATCCCGCGCAGGTCGGCGTGCACGTACTGCTCCTTCAGCTTCGCGGTCCACAGGTCGCTGAAGATGCGCAAGTACTCCTCCGCTTTGTACGGCTTCTGCGAAAGCGCCTCTTGCGCGCTGATTTCGTAGGTCTCGCCGCGGCCACCGAACTTTGCAGGCACGCGCGGCGCGCCGGGCGCGCGCACGTACAGAATGAGCGTCACGTAGCGCGGCGCGCGCGCGGCGCTGTCGAAGCGCCGCAGCGCCTCGGCAATGCAGTCGCGCAGCAGCTGCACCGTTTCCGAGTCGCTGCGAATGCGGATGCCCCACGTGATTTTCACGCTGATCGACTTGGGCTCTTCGCAGACGCTGCCGAGGTCGGCGTTGTCGACGCCGAAGCTGAGCTCCTTGAAGCGCAGCGCGCGGCGCGGACCGAGCAGCGCGCCGAGCGCGGCGAGGTCTGCGTCCTGCAAGTCTGCGAACGAAATCACGCCGTGCTCGCGCAGCAGCTGGCTCAGCGAGGCGCCGACGCCGTGCATTGCCTCGATCGGCTGCGGCCGCAAAAACGCGGCAAGCCGCGCGGCGTCTTCCGCGGCGTCTTCCGCGGCGGCGGCGGCGTTGGCGGTCGGTGGCTGCGCGGCCCGCGCGAGCTCGCGCAGGTCGCAGACGCCGAAAGCGCCGCTCTTCTTCGCGAAAGTCGTCGCGAACTTCGCCTGGAACATGTTGTCGCCGATGCCGACGGTCACCGAGACGTTCGTGCGGTGCAGGATCGTGGCTTCCACGACGCGCGCGAGGTGCTTGGCGCAGTCCACCTGCGCGTCCACGAGCTGCAGGTACGCCTCGTCGCAAGAAGCGGGCAGCAGCCGTGGCGTGATTAGCAGCATGATGGCGAACAGTTCTTGGCTCGCGCGGTCCGCGGCTTCGAGGTCGTAGGGCACCACTTGCAGCTCCGGACAGAGCTGCTTGGCTTGGCCGACGTACATGCCCTTCGTGACGCCGTGGCGGCGCGCGAGCTCGTTGCAGCTCGCGAGCTCGCTGCGGCTGTCTGCGCCGCTGCCGTGCGCGACGGCAATCGGCTGCGTCTGCAGCCCGCCGCTGCTGTCCGCGCGGTTCAGCGCCACGCTGCAGAAGAACGCGTTGAAGTCCACGTGCAGGAAGCGACAGCGCGCGGCCGCTGCGCCCAGCGCGACGGGCGGCGGCTGCCGCAGTGGCACCAGCCACCGCTTGCACTTCAGCCGCGTGCGCCAAGTGCCGATGTAGTTGAGCCGCGAGTGTTGGAAAAAGTTGCGCACGAAGTCCGGGTCGCTGTACGTCGGCGCGCAGTCCGTGCGCTGCGCGGCCTCTTCCTGCACCGCGGGCGTCGCGTGACTCGTTGAAGTCGCGGGAGCGCCGAACGGCTCAGTAGCCGCGCGCGGCGCCGGCGTCGAAGGCGCGTTGCCCGCCGCGTCCGCCGCGAGCGGCGGGGAGCCGCGGCTGGGCGGCGACTGTTCCGCTGGCGCGCGCCGCGCAGACGCAGGACTGCCGGCCGCCGACCCCGCGTCGAACTCCAGCGACGAGTCGCTGTCCGAAGACACCGGCTTGTTGCCGAGCTCGCTCGTGCACACTGCGCGCAGCAACCGCAGGCGTTGCCCGGTCTCGCGCTCGAGCTCGGAGTCCGGGATGCACCGCGCGAGCTGCTGCTCTGCGCGCTCCTGCTCGAGCAGCGTGCGCGTCGCTTCCGGAATTTCCGGCGCGAACTGCGCCGCGGCCAACAGCCGCCCGGCGCGCGCGCTCTGAAAGACCCACTCGAGGCTGACCGTCTCTGCGCCCGCGCGGCGCTTCAGCGCCTCTTTCGCAAACTTCACGACCTGCAGCGCCGGCGTGTCGACCACCACGTGCGTCGCGCGGCCAATCTCGTCGTACGTGTAGGCGCCACCGTGGAAGCTAACCAGCGCGATGAACTCGATTTCGGAAATCCGCGACGGCCCCAAGCGGAAGTAGGTGCACCCGCGGAACAACCCGCCGTCTGCGCCGCCGCGCGGCGCGGCAAGCGGACCGCTCATGCGCTGCGCTACGTTGTCCGCTGCGGAGTTTTTTATTATTTTTATGGCGACGCAAGCGGACTTCGAAGCCTATTTGTACAGCGCGTCGCAAGAGAAAGACCCGCTGCTTCGCACCTACCGCGAGGCGGAGGCGTGGGACAAGGTAGCCGAAGCGGCGCTTGCGCCGATGCTGGTTCTCTCGTGCGGATCAACGGTCGCCGGCACGGCGGTGTTCTACGGAATGGCAATTACGAGCATCATCGCGATGTTCGCTTTTATCGTTTACGTGAAGAGGCGTGCGTGGCCGCCTGCGGCCGACGAGGAGGCAATTGAGAGCTTAAATAAGCGTTATAATTAAATCGCTTATTTATTTTATTGAGATGTCTGCTATCGACAAACAGGTAGACGAGGGCGAGATCGCGGTTTCTGCGAAGAAAGACCGCTTCGGATGCCTTTGCAAGGAGACGAGCGTCGAGAGTAGGCGCCGGAGAGGCGGTTCGCGCGGAAGAGAACCGCGAAGTAGAAGCAGGTCGCAAGCCTTTGAGGGCGAGGCCGAGCCGGAGCCGGAGCATTCGAACGAGCGCTTTAAGGATGCGAGCAGCTCGTTTCTGGGCGGCTACCAGCGCGCGGGCGCGAGCTCGCGCGCGCGGCGCACGGCCGCGTCGCCCTGGGCCAACCGCAATAAGAAGGGCTTCATCTTCGAGAACGAGAACTGGATCTTTGCGAGCACCCAGAACAAGTCGAAAGGCATCAACTTCGACACGTACGACAACATCGAGATCGAGCTGAGCGGCGAAGGCAGCAGCCAGATCGAGATTCGGGACTACTTCATGGACTACGCGAAAGACATTTCGCCGCTGCTCTTGAAGAACATCGAGCGCGTGAACTACGACAAGCTGACGCCCGTGCAGCGTTACGCAATTCCCGTGCTGCTCACGGGCCGCGACTTGATGGCCTGCGCGCAGACGGGCAGCGGCAAGACCGCCGCGTTTTTGTTTCCGATCATCGCAAACATGCTCGCAATGACGCCGCCCGAGCGCGCGATCTTCGACGCGCGGCTCGGCGAGCCGGTCGCGCTGATCATAGCGCCGACCCGCGAGCTGACCGTACAGATCGCCGGCGAGTCGCGCAAGTTCGCGTTCGGCACCGGCATCGCGACCGTCGTCATTTACGGCGGCAGCGACATCATGGAACAGGCGCGCGAGGTGAACCGCGGCTGCGACATTTGCGTCGGCACTCCGGGCCGGCTGATCGACCTCTTCACGCGCTCGCGGATCTCGTTCATCTCTGTGCGCATCCTCGTGCTCGACGAAGCCGACCGCATGCTCGACATGGGCTTCATCCCGCAGATTTCGCGCATCATTCACGAGTTCGACATGCCTTGCGAGAACCGCCAGACCATGATGTTTAGCGCCACATTTCCAAAGGAAATTCAGCGGCTGGCTAGCAAGTTCATGCAGAACTACCTGTACCTGGCCGTCGGGCGCGTCGGCAGCACTTCCGCGTTCATCGCGCAAACGTTCCAATACGTACCGGAGGACCAGAAGTCGCGCAAACTGCAGACGCTGCTGAAAGATTCGTGCGGCAAAACGCTGGTGTTCGTGGAGACGAAGGCGAAGGCCGATTCGCTCGAGTACTTTCTGAACAACAACCACATCAACGCGATTAGCATCCACGGCGACAAGACGCAGCAGGAGCGCAACTACTCGCTCGAAGCGTTCGTGCGCGGCCGCAACGAGGTGCTTGTCGCGACCGATGTCGCGAGCCGCGGCCTGGACATTCACTCGATCACGCGTGTCATCAACTATGACCTTCCGAACAACATCGACGACTACGTGCACCGCATCGGTCGCACCGGCCGCGCCGGCAACGCCGGCCAAGCGCTATCGTTTGTGCACGAGGGCAACCGCATCATTCTGCGCCCGCTCATCAACTTGCTGGAAGAGTCGAAGCAGGAAATCCCGGCGTGGCTCAAGCAGATGATGTCGCACTGCTCGTCCTCCGGCTTCGGCGGCCGCGGCGGCGGCAACCGCTTCGGCGGCGGCGCGCGCGCACACCACGATTTCAGTTTGCCGCGCACGGGCCGATCGAACTTCGGCGGGCAAGACATGCGGCGCGATGTCGAGTCGCACAGGAACAGAGTCGAGAATGGAAACGACAAGTGGATCCGCTCCAACATTGGGTATACCGCCAGTGGAGAGTTCTGGTAGTTGCTATTAGTTCATTTGTTTTTTAGCTAATTAACTGCATTTTTGTTTGCGCATGGCGCAGCGAAGCGCGCTCACTGCACTGCGCACGCAGGCGCAACTGCTGCGGAAAATTGAAGCGAGCGTAGGTTTTCCGCACACAGTCGCAGGCGCGCCTCGCGCACCGGCGCAAAGGCTACCTGTTGCGCACGCAGTTGGTGGCGCGCCGCGCGCTGCAGCTTGCCGCCGCGTCGTCGTCTGCAGATGCATTTCTCGGCAAGGCGGCGGCGCAGCTGCAGAGGGACGCGCTGCGCTGCTTCGCGCTCTGGCAGCAGGCGCACATCGTGCGCGGGCACTTTGAGCTGCTTTGCGGGGCGGTCACAGCAGTGCTAGCGCAGATTTACGCGCTGGCGGGGGATTTGCGCGCTTTGCACTTTGAGTCGCTTGGTGCGACCGCTGCCGCGCCCCGCGCAGAGCGCGGCACCGGTGACCCGCTGGATTTTTTTTATAATTTAAACGGGTAGCTGGATGCTGCGTCCGTTCAGCGTCGCGGCGGATACGCAGCGCATCACGCAGACGCGCTTGCGCAAGTTCGACCCGGAGCTGCACCAGCTGATCGGCAGAGAGTTCGAACGGCAGAGCAGCGAGATTTCACTCATTGCCAGCGAAAACTACGTGCCCGCGTACTGCAGCGGCGCGCTGAGCTCTTGTCTCGCGAACAAGTACTCGGAGGGCGTGCCCGGCGCGCGTTACTACGACGGTAACCAGTTTATTGACGAGATCGAGCGACTCGCGATGCGCCGCGCGCTGCGCGCGTTCCGGCTGAGCCCGACGGAGTGGCACGTGAACGTGCAAAGTTTGTCGGGCACGCCGGCGAACTTCAGCGTGTACACGGGCTTTTTGCAGCCGCAGGACAAGATTCTGTTTCTCGACCTGCCGCACGGCGGACATCTGAGCCACGGGTTCAAAACCGCGTCGGGTGCGAAGATCACGGCGACGGCGAAGTACTTCAACACGCGCCCGTTTTTCTTGAACGTAGCCACAGAGACCATTGACTACGACGAAATGGAGCGAATCGCGCTGGAATTCAAGCCGCGACTGATCATTGCGGGCGCTTCCGCGTATTCGCGGCTGTACGACTACGCGCGGTTTCGTGCGGTGGCTGACAAAGTCGGCGCGTACTTGCTGGCGGACATCGCGCACGTCGCCGGGCCGATCGCCGCGGGCGTGATCCCGTCGCCGTTCCCGTTCTGCGACTTCGTCACGACGACCACGCACAAAACGCTGCGCGGCCCGCGCGGCGCGCTGATCTTCTGCCGTAAGCCGTTCGCGCAGCAGCTGGACAAGGCGGTGTTCCCGGCGACGCAGGGCGGCCCGCACAACCACGTAATCGCGGCCGTGGCGGCAGCGCTGAAGGCCGCGGCGGAGCCGGAGTTCCGTGCGTACCAGCAACGCGTGCTCGACAACATGCAATCCATGGTGGCGCGGCTACAGCAGCGCGGTTACCGCATTGTTTCCGGCGGCTCAGACAACCACCTCGCGATCGTCGACCTGCGCGACTTGGAATTGAGCGGCAGCGAAGCGTCGCGCGCTTTGGCTGAGGTGGGCATCATCTGCAACATGAACACGACGTTGCGCGACAGCAGCGCGAAGCGCCCGTCGGGCGTGCGCGTCGGCACGCCTGCCATGACCACGCGCGGCTTCGGGAAGGCGCAGTTCGTGGAAGTCGCCGACCTGATGCACAGCGTCTGGGAGCGCGCGCTGGCGTTGCGGCGCGCGGCGCCAGCCGCCGCGCGGACGGGCGCGGCGCTCGACGCGCGGCTCCGCGAGGACGGGACGGTGTTGCGCTGCAAGGCGCGCGTAGCCGAGCTGGCTGCGCAGTTCCCCGTGCCGGCGCTCGGAGAAGCGGGCGCGGCGCCGTAGCGCGCGCGCCAGCGTCGCCGCGTGCGCACAGCGGCGCCAGCCGCATAAATTAACGGCATTTAACACATAGCAATTGTAATAACGTATTTCAGAATTACAGCGCTTTCGCGATCAGGCGCGCGCGTTCATGCGCGCTGTGACTTTTAGCGATGCAGACTCCTGAAGGGAAAGCGTTCAAAGGACTGCTGTTCGACTGTTTTCTCGAGTTTCTGGTAGGTGGCGGCTGCTGCGGCGCAGGCGAGCTCGGAAGGGCAGAGTTTGGTTGAGGAGCTCGTCAATGAGGCGACGCTCGCTGCGCCGCTCGAGGCGCTGACTACGCGCGCAGGCGAGTCGAGCTCAAAGTCGACTGCCTTTTGCTGCGACGCGTTTGCGCTGGACGTCGCGGAGCTGCACGCGGCCGACGGCGCGGAGTCTGGCGAATTGCTCGAGCGCTTTGACACAGTCGAGTCGGTGTTGTCCGAATTCGACGCAAAGTCGCTCGAGTTCTTCCCGCTGGACCCGTCGCCCGCGGCTGCGGCGCCCTCTGCGAGCGGAACGTCTGTCGCGGACGCTAGTTCTGTCGTGCGGCCCATCAAGCGCTCGGCTTCGCTGCAGGAGCACTTTTTCGAAGACAGTGAGTTCGGCGAGGCTCCGCGGTCGGCCAACGTCCACCGCGGTGGCCCGCGCGCAGCCGAGCCGGACGCGGAAACCGCGCTCGCCGCCGCGATCCACTTCGACGCGGAACCCAGCGCTAAGACGCGCGTCGACTGCTTTGGCGCAACAGCTGCAGAGCGCGTTGCGCCGCCGGATGCGATTGCGGGAGGCGTCGGTGCGGGCGTTACGCCAGCAGTTGCGCCAGGGGCAGTTGCGCCAGAGGCAGTTGCGCCAGGGGCAGTTGTGCCAGGGGCAGTTGTGCCAGGGGCAGTTGTGCCGGGGGCAGTTACGGAGACGGTGGCCGCCAAGGCCGTCGATGGAGGCGACGGCGAGGCAGCCGCGGCCGCGGAGTTGGCTGCGCTGTACGCGGAGGTCGACGTGGCGCTGCGCGCTGCGGAGCCGGCGGAGAGTCGCCTGCACGACGTGCTGCTGAGCTTCTTGGACTTCGAGGCGCAGTTCAGTGAGCGCGCCGTCGAGTCGACTGTGGAGGCGATCGCGCTGGTTTTCAAGGAGTCCGAGTTTTTGGACTTCCGCGACTTCGAGACGCTGATCGTCGAGCGCGTGCTGCATTTGTCGAAGTACGTTTCGCAGAGCGTGAGCAAGCTGATTTACGAAGCGGCCGCGCCCAGTCAGTACCAGCTGAGCTTCCGCTTCAACGAGAAAGTGCGTCGGCAGCCGCTAGTGGCGTTCGTGCGCAAGCACCGGCTGCAGATCGCGGCGGCCGGGCCGAACTTGTTCCAGCTGCTCAGCCAGGGCGCGACGGCGCGCGGCGAGCCGTGTTTCCGCGTCGAGCGGCTCTGCAGCTTCGTCGCGGAGTTCCTCGACCGCTGCCCGCTGTGCGACGTCGGCCGGCTCGACGAGATGGTGCTCAACGAGCTCGCTGCGGCGGTCGCTGCAGTGACGGCGCTGCGCATGGGCTGCACCGGCGGCGTGATCGGTTTCGCGCAGTATGTGCGCGTGCCGCTGCAGCACTTTCTGCCGTTCTTCGGCTGCGAGTCCGAGCGCGAGGTCGCGGAGCTCTGCACGCACCTGTGCGAGGCGACGCTCGTGCTGAAGTGGTTCTACGAGAAGATCGGCTATTCGGGCTTCGGGCCGCTCGAGTTCCACGCGAAGCTGCCGAGCGTGATGTTGACCAACTACGACCAGAACGCGATTCTCGAGGAGATTTGGTCGCGGCTGCTCTACCAGCGCTGCAGCTCGCTGCACGAGTTCGGGCCGTTCGTCTCGGTCGCAGACCTCGCGCGTGTCGTGTACCTCGACACCGACAAGTGGGCGCCGCTGAGTTTGCAGTTTTGGTTCGAAGTGCTCGACCGCAACTGCGACGGCTTTCTGGACTGCGAGGACCTCGACTTGTTCTTGTCGGCGCAGACGAAGAAGCTACTCTCGCGCGGGCTCGAGATCTGCTCGCCGCAGAGCTTCTACTGTCAGATGGCGGACATGTACAACGTGCACGTCGCGCCGGTCAAGATCTCTTTCGCGCAGTTCGCGAGGAACCCCGAAATTTCGGTGTACTTCATCAACATGCTCACCAAGTAAGTTGCGCGCGCGGTCACCGTAGCAGCAAAAAGCACGCGCTCACGGAACTCGGCGAGAGCTTTACGAAGCACGAAGTGCCGATCGGCGGCGCGCGCTTCGACCTCTGGAACGCGTTCTGCCGCGCCAAGTTGCTCGACATTTGCGCGCACCCCGGCGCCGTTGCCGAGTCAAAGCTGTGAATGCACGCTACTACTCCAAAAACACGATCTGGAACTTCATGCCGTCGACGACGAACTTGCGCTCGACGCGCACGCGGCCGTCCGCGTCGGCGCGCTTGCTCGCGACGTCGGCGACGCGGTCGCCGAGGACCACCGGGCGCATCAGCATCTTCTCGAGCTGCGCCGCGTGCGCGCGCAGGATGCGCAGCAGCGCCGCGTCGGCGGTGTTCAAGCAGGTCACCACCTCGTCGCTGAGGCTCAGCTGCGCCTCTTTGCGCAGGCGCTTGATGTGCGTGTTGATCTCGCGGCACACCGACAGGTTGCGCAGCTCTTCGGTCTGCGTCAGGTCTAGCGCAATCAGCAAGTTGTGCGCGTACTCGGTCGCGAGCTTCGCGTCGCGCGGCGCGTCCGTCGGCGTGCGCTGCACGACCACCTCCTCTTCGCTGATCACGTACGTCGTCTCGTCGACGCGCAGCTCGAGCCGCTTTTCGCGCAAGAACTGCTGCACTTCGGCGGCGGGGAGGTTCTCGAGCGCGAGGCAGACGGGCTTCAGCGCTTTGCCGAGCCGCGCGCCGAGCAGCTTGCGCACCGGCTTGAGCTTGGTGACGACGTGTTCTTCCTGCAGCACGGTCAGCTCNNNNCGAGCGCTTGCAAGTTCAGCTCGCTGAGCAGGTGCTCTTCGTACTGGCGCAGCCGCGCGCAGAGCTCGGGCGTCGAGAAGTACACGGTCAGTTTCCGCGCCATGCGCTTAATGGGCAGCTTGTTGCGGTCGCGCTGCAGCCGGCACGCTTCGACGACGTGCTGGAAGGTGAGCACGTCTTGCTCGACCGCGAGGTCGACGAACGCGGCGTCGAACTGCGGCAGCTCCGCGAAGTGCACCGAGGCGCACTCGGCGAGCGCTGCGCCGCGAATGGTGCGCAGCCGCTGGAACACGAACTCGCTCATGAATGGCGTCACGGGCGCCATCAAGAGTGCGAGCGTATGCAGCACGGAGTAGACCACGTTCAGCGTGACCACGCAGTCGGCGTGCGACGCCTGCCCGCGCATGTTGTCGCGGTTCAGTCGCACGTACCAGTTGGTCAGGTGCTTCAAAAACTCGTTGAGCTCTTTGCACGCGTTGTACAAGCGGTACGCGGCCATCTCGGCTCGGTAGTAGCGGATCAGCGACTGCGCCTTCGATAGGATCCAGCGGTCGAGCTCCTTGCACTGCGCGCGGAGCTCTGCGAGCGGCGTAGGCTGCCAGTCCGCGCCGGTTTTCCGCTCGAAGCGCGTTTTTTCCTGGAAGAAAAAGCGCAGCGTGTGGTACCACGGCAGCAGCACGTCCTTGATGACGGAGCGCACGGCGTCGTCGGCGAAGCAAATGGGCTCCGCTTTGAGCGCGGGGCTGTTGATCAGGAAGAGCCGCACGGCGTCCGCGCCGACACTGTCGATCAGCTGTTCGGGCGGCGTGTAGTTGCGCAAGCGCTTGCTCATCTTTTTGCCGTCCGCCGCGAGCACGAGTCCGTTCACGATCACGTTTTTGAACGGCGCTTTTCCGAACAGAATGCAGCCGAGCACGGTGAGCGTGTAGAACCAGCCGCGCGTCTGGTCCAAGCCCTCCGCGATGAAGTCCGCGGGGAACTGCGTCTCGAACTGCGCGGCGTTCTCGAACGGGTAGTGGCTCTGTGCGTACGGCATCGCGCCGCTTTCGAACCAGCAGTCGAAGACGGCTTCGACGCGGCGCAGCGGCGGGAACGCGGCGCCGCGCGGGTCGGGCAGCGTGATGTCGTCGATGAAGTGGCGGTGGATGTCCGTGATCGGCCGCTCGCAGTGCTGCTGCAGTTCGGCGACGGAGCTCACGACTTTCGTGACGGTTTGGTCCTCGCTGACCCAGATCGGGATCGGCGTGCCCCAGAAGCGGTTGCGGCTGATGCACCAGTCCTTTGCGTCGGCGAGCCAGTTGCGGAAGCGCTTCTCTTGGATCGCGGCGGGCACCCAGCGCGTCTGCGCGTTCGACTGCAGCAGCAGCTCCTTCACGGCGGTCACCTTGACGAACCAGGAGCTCACCGGGTAGTAGAGCAGCGGCGCGTCGGAGCGCCAGCAGTGCGGGTAGGAGTGCACGTAGGTTTCCGCGAGGATCAGTGCGTTCTGCGCCTTGAGCAGCGGCTTGAGCAGCTTGTACGCGTCGCGGAAGTAGACGCCGTCGAGCTCGTTGCCGAACAGCGCGAGGAAGCGGCCGGCCTCGTCGACGTGGCAGGGCACCGGCTCGCCGGAGCGGACCACGCCTTCGCGCAGACAAATGCGGTAATCGTCTTCGCCGAATGCGGGCGCGCAGTGCACGACGCCGGTGCCGACGCTGTCGGTCACGTAGTCGTCGGCGACGACGCGGCCCACGCGGTCGCGCCATTGCGGATCCGCGCTGTAGACGTCGAACAGCGGCTGGTAGCGCAGCCCGACGAAGCTCGCGCCCGCGACGCCGCGCAGCACGACGCGGTGTCCGCGCTCGTCGGCGCGGCCGGCCGCGCGCAGCAGCGCGTCCGCGTCAGAGCCGAGCTTCAGCGCGGCGAGCAGACTCGCGAGGCGCGCCTCGAGCAGCCAGAAGCGCCGCACGCAGTCCGGTTGCAGACGCAACTCGACGAGGCAGTACGGCAGTGTGGGGCTGACGCAGAGCACCGCGTTACTCGGCAACGTCCAGGGCGTGGTGGTCCAGGCGAGAAACTCGGTGTCGCGCAGCGCGAACGGCTCGCCGGCGAGCTGCGCGGCGATCGCCGCGCAGCTCGGCGCGGTGCTTTCGCGCAGCGGGAAGGCGACCGTGACGGTCGTGTCGCTGATGTCTTTGTAGTTCTGCGACGCTTCGAAGTTGCTCAGCGGCGTGCAGCAGACGGGCGAGTAAGGCATGATCTTGTAGTCTTTGTACACGAGCTGCTTGTCGAACAGCTGCCCGAACACCCACCATACGGACTCCATGAAGCCGAGGTCCATGGTCTTGTAAGCGTTGTCGAAGTCGATCCAGCGGCCGACGCGCTCGACGGTGTTGCGCCACTCAGCCACGTAGCGCGTAACGATCGCGCGGCACTCTTCGTTGTACGCGGCGATGCCGATGCGGTTGATCGTGTCGAAGCGGTCTTTTACGCCGAGCTTCTTGTCGATCTCGTACTCGACCGGCAGCCCGTGACAGTCCCAGCCGAAGCGGCGCGGGACGCAGTGGCCGGTCTGGTGCGCGAAGCGCGTGACGACGTCCTTGATGATGCCCGCGAGAATGTGGCCGTAGTGCGGCAGGCCCGTCGCGAATGGCGGTCCATCGTAGAAGGTGAACGGCGGTTTGTCGCGGTTGAGCGCGAGGGAGCGGCCGAACGCGTCGATCTCGCGCCAGTACGCGAGAATGTCCTGCTCGAGGCTCGCAAAGTGCGGCGAGTCAGAGACTGCGTGCGCGCTGCGCAAACTTACGCTCTCGCAGCGCGAAGTGTGGAACGGCGGATTCCGACATGGGTCAAATTCGATTTACAAAAACCCCAAAAAAGCAGGTTATTTTCCGACGCGGCGCCGCGGCGCCGCGTGACAACGCGCGCTACTTGCGCTGCTCGCGCTACTTGCGCTGCTTGCGCTGCTCGCGCTACTTGCGCTGCTTGCGCTGCTCGCGCTACTGGCGCTGCGAGGCTTTCCCGAGCGCGTGCACGAAGCGGCGCCAGCCCTCGCCCGCGCAGGCGCGGCGGCACTGCGCCTCCTCGGCGCGGCAGCGTTCGAGCGCTTCGAAGTGCGCGTTGCGCATGGCTTCGCGGTAGAACACCTGATCTGCGGAGACGGTCTGCTTCGACTCGGTTTCCGCGAACGCGTGCATCGCGATGCACTGGCTCTGGCCGACGCTCGTCTCGACGGCGTGCGCCCAGTACTTGTAGTCGATCGGGTAGAGCTGCGTGGCTTGGTAGATGTCAAACGGCCAGCCGGCCTTGCGCTCGATCTCGGTGTCGCCGCGGTGCAGCGTGGTGGAGACCGTGCGGTCGATCAGGCCGTGGTTCGAGCGCGAAGTTTCGCCGCTGGCTTGCTGCTCGAGCGCGGGCCCGCCTTCGCGCTGCGCTTCGAGCTTGCCTTGACTGCCGTCCAGGTTTTCAGCGAGACTGCCTGCGGGTTTCTGCGTTGCGGAATTGCGCACTTACGATTTTGGTGTCGCTCATGGTACACAAGATTAGAAATTCGCAAGCATGCAACAGCGCGACGTGCACGGCGCCACGCGCCGTCGTGCTGCGCGGCGCAGCCGCGCAGCTAAATGAAGCGCGAAACGCTCTGCTTGCGCGCGGCGTCTGCCGCGGCGGGCGCTTTGCGGTTTTTGCTGAACAGCGCGGCGTTGAAGCTCGAGAACGAGTCTTTCAGCGCGTCGAGTTTGAACAGCTCGGCCGGCTTCTTCAGCTTGCTCGACAGCGGGGCGGCGTCCGACTGCGGCGCGCAGATGGGCTCGAAAGCGGAGGTGTGCGCGTGCTGCAGCTGCGGCGCGGGCGCCGCGGCCGGCGCGGCGCTCGCGTCGAGCTGGTAGTAGTTCTGCAGCGAGCGCGACACGCTTTCGTAGACGTCCGTCTTGATCTTGCTCAGCGCGGCTTCGACTTCGTTCAGCACTTCCAGCGAGAGCTCGTCCGCTTTGTACCGCGCCTTCAAGTCCAGCAAGATCAGCATGAACGGCTCCAGCACGCGAATCTTGCGCGTGCGCCGCTCCATCGCGCACTTGAAGTTGCTTTTGAGGTCTAAGCGCTTCAACTCGTGTTCCGAGTAGAAGTCGCTCACGCTGGGCTTCGACTGCGATTCGAGCAGGAACGTTTTCTGGTTCATCATAAAAATTGCAGCACCCGAATTTTACGTGTCGGGTGTTGCGCGGCTAGGGCGGCGCGGCCTTCGAAATCACGTACGTGTACAGCGGCTTGTAGCAGGTCGCGAGCAGCGTCAGGAAGCCCGTGACGCACTTCGGCGGCAGCCCGTGGTAGTTGCCGCCGTCGGCGCTGCGGAACTTGAAGAGAAAGAGCAGGTCGTCCGCGGTGACTTTGCGCATGAGCCGCGCCTGGTTGATGCGCACGATTTCTTTTTCGCGGATCAGCTCTTTGAAGTCTGCGTTGCAGCAGTTCAGGTTGAACTCGACGAGGTCCGCGTCGAGGCTCGTCAACCCGAGCCGTTCGTCGCCGTCCGACGGCGCGTCCGCGTCCTCGCGTTCGCGCTCGAGCGGCGCGGCCTCGGCCGCCGCGTCGTCCAGCTCGGAAGAGCCAAGGCTCTCGGCGCGGCGCTGCTCGCTTTTCTTCTGCTCGAGCGCGTCGGCCGAGACCGCTCGCGCCTTCAAGTAGTCGAGCTTCTTGAACCAGAGCAAACTCTGGCGACTCTGCAGGTTGTCGAAGAACAGCGTGTCGCTGTACACGTGCCGCAGCGACTCGGTGCGAATCTTCGAGACGACGACGCACTTGCAGAACACGTTGCGCAGCACGTTGATCAGCGTGATCATCACGCGCTCCTCGACCTCGCGCAGCGCGGGCGGCAGACTGAGCCCGCGCTGCTTCAGCCGGTCGAGCAGCTGGTTGCGAAAGGTCTTCTGCAGCCCGGAAATCAACTTGTAGTCCATTTGTTCGGTCATGTTCAGCGCGAAGCGCCGCCGCTTGACTTGGTCGTTGTAGCGCATGATGTTCTCGGCGAGCCGCGCGCCGGCAGCGTCGCGCGGCGGCAGCTCGCGCTCTAGTTTGACTGGCGGCGCCACGCAGCTCGCGCTGGAGCTCGACACGCTCGAGTCGCGCGCCGGCTGGCCTTGCGCGGAGCGCGCCGCGACGACGCCGTTCGCGGCCTCCGGCGCGCGCCTGCGGCTCGGCATCGGGTCGAGTTCGCCGCTGGGCGCGCCCGCGCCGTCAGACGCGCGCGGCTGCCGCAAACCCGGGCAGTGCGTGGGCTGCGCGCAGCGTGCGGCGAACCGCTGTGGGTCCGCGCAGTGCGGCAGCAGCGGCGCGCTGCTGAACGCGCTGCGGCCGCTCTGCTCGAAAGCGGCGCGGCCTGCGGCGTGCTGCCGCATGCGCTCCGTGGCGCACGGGTCTGAGCGCGCAGCCAGCGCTGCACTCAGCTGGCACCGCTCCGCTCCGCGGCGCGCGGGCGCGCCAAAGGCCGTGCCAAAGGCCGTGCCAAAGGCCGCGCCCTGCGGCGCGCCCTGCGGCGCGCCGCTGGGCGACTCGTCGCCCGTAGCGGGATGTGCCGCGTCCGCGAGTGCGTCCGCGAGTGCGTCCGCGTGTGCGTCCGCGAGTGCGGCCGCGTCGGCGCGCTGCTCTGCGGGGAACGCGGCCACGTCGGCCTCGCGCGGCGCCGGCGGGAAGGGCCTGCGCGCGCGGCGCTGCAGCTCGAATTCGTCGCGCGCGCGGTCAAAAGGCATGCGCGATCAGTCCGCGGCCGCTGCGGTGCGCTGCGGCGACAACAAAGGCGAGGCGAGCTGTGCCGCGCAGGCAGAGCAGTAGGAGCGGGAAAAGGTGTAGTTTTGAAAATTAGCGCGATTATGCGCCGTTAAACGCGAATTTTGCGCGGCGGTTGCGCGGCGCGCCGGGTCCATGCGCGCGCAGGCGCGCCGCGAGTGCACACGGGGCACGAAGGCTGCGACGTGTTGCAAAAAAGCCGCGCCTCCCGCGCATGAAGCTTCCATACGTGCACCGCAGTATCGCAGATACGGAGCATGCAGTCGACTCTGGAATCCGTCCAGTGCTAACCTGCGGTCTAAGTTCCAGTTGAATTGCGCGGTTGAATCGCCCGATGCCTGGCTTCAAGTGCAGCAGCGATACGTTGCTTTTCGGCTTCGGCAGAAAGCTCAGCTTTGGCCAGCCGTGCGACTACGCAGACTACGTGCTGAGTCTGTGGATTTTGCTGAGTAAGTTTCGGCGCCTCGCGCGCGCGCGCAACGCAGGTGGGTTTTACTATATGCCGTCGAGCCTGGGCTCTGTCTACGTGAAGCTCGTGCCGAGCTGCTTGCTGCGGAACGTGCATGGCCAGAAGCACAGTCGCAAGTTCTACAACTACTTGAACGAGTTGGTGCTGAACCCGGCGACGATGCCGCACGCGATGGAGCTGTTCCGCGTGCACTTGCGGTCTTGCGCGCCGAACGCGCACTACTGCAGCTACAGCGACGAAACGCGCAGCGAGCGGCTGAAGTTTCGCAAAACCTGCTTCCGGCTGTACAAGAAGGTGAACGCCGTGGCGTACAAAAGCTCGCCGGCGCTGAACGTGGACTGTGTGCCGTTCGTGACGAAGCGCAAAGCCGCGCAGCAAGAGTTGGTCATGAACGACAGCAACAACCGGAAAGTGCACGGCGTCTACACGCAAGCGCTGCCGGAAGGCATCCGGCCGCGCGAACCGTACGAAGGCAGCAGCTCGTGTT